GTAGTAGTTGTAGTAGTGTAGTAGTAGTAGTAGTAGTCGTAGTAGTAGTAGTAGTAGTAGTAGTAGTAGTAGTAGTAGTAGTAGTAGTCGTCGTCGTCGTAGTCGTTGTCGTAGTCGTAGTCGTGTCGTAGTCGTAGTCGTAGTCGTAGTAGGAATCGTAGTAGTAGTAGTAGTAGTAGTAGTAGTAGTAGTAGTAGTTTCGTAGTCGTAGTCGTAGTCGTAGTCGTAGTCGTAGTCGTAGTCGTAGTCGTAGTCGTAGTCGTAGTCGTAGTCGTAGTCGTAGTCGTTAGTCGTAGTATAGTAGTAGTAGTAGTAGTAGTAGTAGTAGTAGTAGTAGTAGTAGTAGTAGTAGTAGTAGTAGTAGTAGTCGTAGTAGTCGTAGTCGTAGTAGTCGTAGTCGTAGTAGTAGTAGTAGTCGTAGTCGTAGTCGTAGTCGTAGTAGTAGTCGTAGTAGTAGTAGTAGTAGTAGTAGTAGTAGTAGTAGTAGTAGTAGTAGTAGTAGTAGTAGTAGTAGTAGTAGTAGTAGTAGTAGTAGTAGTAGTAGTAGTAGTAGTAGTAGTAGTAGTAGTAGTAGTAGTAGTAGTAGTAGTAGTAGTAGTAGTAGTAGTAGTAGTAGTAGTAGTCGTAGTTGTGGTAGTAGTAGGGGCCCATTGGCGCCTCCTTAGGTTTTTTTCGGGGCCGAGGTCTCGATGTGTTCATTCGGGTTTCCCCTCGGGGCCTCTTCTTGGGGCCGTCACGGGGCCCTCCTGGGTCGTTTTGGAAGCTTCTGGGGCCGTCTTGGGGCTCTCTTGGGCCGTCTTGGAGCCCTCTTCGGGGCCTCTTGGGCTATCTTGGGTCGATCTCAAAGGCTTCTTGGGCCCTTGTGGGCTTAGTGAATTAGTGAATGTCCAAGAGGCGAATGTGCTAAACATGTGCGTTTTCCCTGGGGGATGAAACGGTTTTTGCTTTTGGAGGGCCTCTTGGGGCGCCTCTTGGTGGCTTCTTGGGGCGTCTTGGGGGCCTCTGGGACCGTCTGGAGGCGATCTTGGTTGGGCGTCTTGTAGCGATCTTTCGGCGATTCGTAACCCTCTTGGACCGTCCGGGGGGCCTTTTGGGGCCCTCTTGGCCCGGTTTGGAGCCCCCTGAGGCTTCAAGGGTGCGGCCGACACCTTTGCCCCCCCCCTCCAAACCGGCCGGACCGGGCTCCCGGGGAGGGTTTGGGGAGGGGGAAGCATCTCACACGCCCGTGACCCCAAGGGGTCGGCGGATTTTTACCTAACAGCGAAGACTGATAGGTTTCTAGTAGGGTCAAAAGACAGCATCATGACGCCCCAGGGGGGTCTGGGCGCGATCCGGGGGAGGGTGCCAGGGATTTTTTTTAGCCAACAGTTACACACTTCGTGGTCTTCGAGGTCCCAGGAACTCCATTCCCGGGCCACATTCTGAATGCCCGGAGCCAACTGTAGGCCCTTTCGTGGTCTTCGAGTTCCCAGAACTCCATTCCTGGGCCACATTTTGAATGCCCGGAGCCAACTGTAGGCCACTTCGTGCTCTTCGAGTTCCCAGAACTCCATTCCTGGGCCACATTTTGAATGCCCGGAGCCAACTGTAGGCCACTTCGTGCTCTTCGAGTTCCCAGAACTCCATTCCTGGGCATGATTTAGAATGTCCGGAGCAAACTGTAGGTCATTTCGTGTTCTTCGAGGTCCCAGAACTCCATTCCCGGGCCACATTTTGAATGTTGAGGCAGGCTGATGCTGAGGCTGAGGCAGGCTGAGGCTGAGGCAGGCTGAGGCTAAGGCCGAGGCTGAAGGCAGACTGAGGCTGAGGCTGAAGCAGGCTGAGGCTGAGGCTGAGGCAGGCTGAGGCTGAGGCTGAGGCAGGCTGATGCTGAGGCAGGCTGAGGCTGAGGCTGAGGCTGATGCAGGCTGAGGCTGAGGCAGGCTGAGGCTGAGGCCGAGGCTGAAGGCAGACTGAGGCTGAGGCTGAAGCAGGCTGAGGCTGAGGCTGAGGCAGGCTGAGGCTGAGGCTGAGGCAGGCTGATGCTGAGGCAGGCTGAGGCTGAGGCTGAGGCTGATGCAGGCTGAGGCTGAGGCAGGCTGAGGCTGAGGCCGAGGCTGAAGGCAGACTGAGGCTGAGGCTGAGGCTGAGGCTGAGGCAGGCTGAGGCTGAGGCTGAGGCAGGCTGATGAGGGCAGGCTGAGGCTGAGGCTGAGGCTGATGCAGGCTGAGGCTGAGGCAGGCTGAGGCTGAGGCCGAGGCTGAAGGCAGGCCGAGGCTGAGGCTGAAGCAGACTGAGGCTGAGGCTGAGGCAGGCTGAGGCTGAGGCTGAGGCTGAGCAGGCTGATGCTGAGGCAGGCTGAGGCTGAGGCTGAGGCTGATGCAGGCTGAGGCTGAGGCAGGCTGAGGCTGAGGCCGAGGCTGAAGGCAGACTGAGGTTGAGGCTGAAGCAGGCTGAGGCTGAGGCAGGCTGAGGCTGAGGCAGGCTGAGGCTGAGGCAGGCTGAGGCTGAGGCTGATGCAGGCTGAGGCTGAGGCAGGCTGAGGCTGAGGCCGAGGCTGAAGGCAGACTGAGGCTGAGGCTGAAGCAGGCTGAGGCTGAGGAGAGGCAGGCTGAGGCTGAGGCTGAGGCAGGCTGAGGCTGAGGCAGGCTGAGGCTGAGGCTGAGGCTGAGGCAGGCTGAGGCTGAGGCTGAGGCTGAGGCTGAGGCTGAGGCGAGGCTGAAGGCAGACTGAGGCTGAGGCTGAAGCAGGCTGAGGCTGAGGCTGAGGCAGGCTGAGGCTGAGGCTGAGGCAGGCTGATGCTGAGGCAGGCTGAGGCTGAGGCTGAGGCTGATGCAGGCTGAGGCTGAGGCAGGCTGAGGCTGAGGCCGAGGCTGAAGGCAGACTGAGGCTGAGGCTGAAGCAGGCTGAGGCTGAGGCTGAGGCAGGCTGAGGCTGAGGCTGAGGCAGGCTGATGCTGAGGCAGGCTGAGGCTGAGGCTGAGGCTGATGCAGGCTGAGGCTGAGGCAGGCTGAGGCTGAGGCCGAGGCTGAAGGCAGACTGAGGCTGAGGCTGAAGCAGGCTGAGGCTGAGGCTGAGGCAGGCTGAGGCTGAGGCTGAGGCAGGCTGATGCTGAGGCAGGCTGAGGCTGAGGCTGAGGCAGGCTGAGGCTGAGGCAGGCTGAGGCTGAGGCCGAGGCTGAAGGCAGACTGAGGCTGAGGCTGAAGCAGGCTGAGGCTGAGGCTGAGGCAGGCTGAGGCTGAGGCTGAGGCAGGCTGATGCTGAGGCAGGCTGAGGCTGAGGCTGAGGCTGATGCAGGCTGAGGCTGAGGCAGGCTGAGGCTGAGGCCGAGGCTGAAGGCAGACTGAGGCTGAGGCTGAAGCAGGCTGAGGCTGAGGCTGAGGCAGGCTGAGGCTGAGGCAGGCTGAGGCTGAGGCTGAGGCAGGCTGAGGCTGAGGCTGTGACTGCGACTGCCGTTGCCACTGCGACTGCCATCGCGAATGCGACTACGACTGCGAGAACAGCAGAATTCTACAACAGGATTCTCATCTGAATCTTAAGGGGAATGCTTTCAGATATGCTCCTACACATCGCTGTTAGGTTGCTTTGCCAGGATAATTTACAGACATGGCCGGGCGAACGAGAAAGCACTATTGGGCGGGCTTCTGGTGTTTCATAATGTACGGTGATAAACTTGTTTTAGACAGTTGCACGCAAATCATTTGTTTTTTCGAGTTTGAAGCTTGCAGCACGCCGCGATCACATGTTTACTTGTCCGCAATGCTGCGAAATTGCAAACGACGACTCGGACACGATCAAAACGTGATGTGTCTTTGTGGCGGTGTAGCACCAAAGAGCATCACAAACTTACAACACGTCAACAGCATTCAACGAACAGGAGATCCATCGAAGACCCCAGTGGCCGCGGCCGCATGCGTTCCCCCCGCGCATTACGGCACACCCTTCACGTGATCCGCGGCCCCATAGGGAATTGTACAGAAAATTGTGCCTACAACGCGGTATTCACAACTGCGTATGGTTGGGCCTTTCGCCCAGATATTGTGCAGGGTTTGCGGCCAGTGCCGCCAACCCTGAAGCGGGGAGCCCGAAACGTGTGGCACGCAAAGAATCGAAGGGGAAAACTATTCCCAGGGAAGGATGCTCCTCAACGGGGGGGGGCAACTCCCGCCGCCCTCCATCCGTGAAACGGCTTCACATTTCAAGCTTCACGATCATAGCTGCTGAGGAATGTCTCAGGCGGAACGCCCGGTCCGCCCTTTCGACAGGCCTGAGGGCGCGATTGGGATGATATTTGTATAAGGAGGATCGATGTAATTCGAATTAATATGCAAATGGAGTGGAAGGGGGGAGGAGGCCGAGGAAGCACAGGAGGGTTAACGATCATGTGAGCGTGAGGACGCGACGCTCATCTCCACGGACATGGGCGACCTGTCTTTCCTCACGATGGTCCTCCGGCGCCTTGTGACAATCGGAGGCCTTCGAGCCTGTTCGGGGCGAGGCTGGCCGAATGATTTCTGGCTGCTTTCGGGCCAGTGCTCCCTCGCCGAGCTTTCCGTTTGGTCGGCTTCCGTTGCCCGGCCCACGGCCCCCAGCGGCAGGGTTCCCGCGCACGTGGTTGGCCGTGGGTGCCCCGTTGGTGCCCTGTGAAGGGCGTGACGGAAGCAGGCCGCGAATCCCCAGATCAGGCGCACGTCCTGTCCATGTGATCGTTTTTTTATTCATTGTTTTGTTGATCGGGGCGGGCCCCTCAACCCCCCCTCCCCCCCCTCCCATGGAGTAGATCTTGGCTGCTTTTTGGCGCCTGTTTCGAGCGGGTGGAGTCTCCCCCCGAAGGCCGCAATCTTGCAAACAGTCGCACTAAGCAGAGGTCTGGAGCCAGATCCCCCCCTCCCCCCCTCCTTGCCGCCCAATGTCGAAACGCCGAAAAAAACGCTCACCATCTCCTTGCCTTTCCTGCCTGGATTCCCCAGGGTAGTCCGGATGTGAATTGCCAGTCTACGGCTAGATATTGCGCTCACCAG